TTCTGTCTCTAAATAAAATATTTTAAAAAAGGGCAGGGATGTGGATCAGTGGTTAAGCGCCCCGGGTTCAGTCCCTGGTAACAACAAGAAAACAACAACGAAACTGCTCTTTGGGGGCTCTCTAGCTGATCAACAGCCTGCTCCCTCAAGCCCATCGAAACCAGCTCCTTCTGGACTGGCTTTCCCAACACACTATCCTGGCAGCTGTCACAGGCCCAGAGCACTGGGCAAAGTGTCAGGCCTGCTGCAAAATACACTGGAACTTTATCTGACCCCTGGCTTCTGTCCCAACCAGAAATACATTGGCTGGGACTAGCAGCGGCGCTGGGGGAGGGAGGTGGCCTCAGGACAATAACTCCATCCTCCCTCTTTTTTATTTGTATAATTGTACTAATTAGCACTGTTCCTTGTTATGAAACTGTTTCAAAACCCTAAGGTTTAATTGTGAGCCCTGGATTGTCAGAGGAGGAAAAAGGAGCTCTCCCCACACACGCAGGGACGGGCAGCCAGGAGATCCCCTGTCGGCCTCTGCGCTGGTTTGCAGCAGGATTTCTGGAGCAGGGACAATCTCCTGTGCAGTGGCGCCGTCTGCCACTCTCCAGAAAGAGCCCATGACAGTGGTAGCAGCGACTGCCACACCAGACTGGAATTCGGCCAGCTTGGGAGGGGGCAGTTCTCAGTCTGGGAGTCCCTGTTGGTCAAGGGCAAGGCCCCCTCCCCGTTGAACCGTGTCGGGGAGGTCCAAGGTCCCAGACAAGCCTCAACAGGTCTTCCTGCAGGTACTTCTCCAAGGCCATTGTCTTAGCATAAAAGGAATCCCAGTGCATGGTCCTGGGTCTCAGAACCAAAAATACAAAAACAGGGGAGTCGCTTAAAGGTAGAGGGATGGTGTGAGGCCCTGGGCTGACCCCCAGCACCGCAAAAATCAACCCATCAAATCAAATCAAAACTGCAAACACAAAGAAACCCTCAGTGTGGTGTGCCTTGGGAGAGTTTCAGACACTAGGTGACATTTTTAAGAACTCCAGAATTTCCCAGTACCCGGGTAAGAATGTCAAGACCCAAAGCCTCCAGGATTTAGAATTCATTATATTTAGAATTGAAAAAAAAAAAAAGTCAGCATGCTGGGTGCCATCCAGAGCACTGCCAGGAAAAGAAAAGATCATTCTGGTCAATTTGAGTGTGGACGGGATAGGAGATGATGTTAAAGAGCTCTTGTTAGTTTTCAAAAAATTGTAAAGAGATTACCTAGAAGAATCCGTTCCTAGGAAATTCATGCTGAAGTATTTGACTTTTTTTATTTTTGGTATTGGGGATTGAACCCAGAGGCATTTAACCACTGAGCCACATCCCCAGTCCTTTTAAGTTTTTTTAAGATCTTCTTCAATTTTTTATTTATTCTTTTTAGTAATACATGACAGTAGAATGTGTTTTGACATATCATATACATTGGAATATAACGTCCCATTTTTGAGGTTGTACATGATATGTACAACTGGTCGTGTATTTATATAAAAATATAGGAAATTTATGTCTGATTCATTCTACTGTCTTTCTGAATCCCAAACCTCCCCTCTTCCCTTCATACCCCTTGGTCTAATCCAGTGAACTTCTATTCTTCTCTCCCACTGCTTATTGTGAGTCAGCATCTACATATCAGAGAGAACATGGCCTTTGGTTTTTTGGGGATTGGCTTATTTCACTTAGCATGATGGTTTCCAGTTCCATACATTTACCGGCAAATTTCATAATTTCATTCTTCTTTGTGGCTGAGTAATATTCCATTGTGTATATGTACCACATTTTCTTTATCCAGTCATCTGTTGAAGGGCATCTAGGTTGGTTCCATAGTTTAGCTATTGTGAATTGAGCTGCTATGAACATTGATGTGGCTGTGTCACTGTAGTATGCAGTTTTCAAGTCCTTTGGGTATATACTGAGGAGTGCAATAACTGGGTCAAATGGTGGTTCCATTCCAAGTTCTCTGAGGAATCTCCATACTGCTTTCCAAAGTGGTTGCACCAATTTTCAGTCCCACCAGCAGTGTATGAGTGTACCTTTTCCCCCACATCCTCACCAACATTTATCATTACTTATATTCTGACTAGAGTGAGATGAAGTCTCCGTTTAGTCTTAACTTCTATTTCTCTGTTGCTAGAGATATTAAATATTTTTTCATATATTTGTTGGTGCATCATATTTCTTCTGTAATGTGTCTGTTCAGTTCCTTTGCCCCTTTATTGATTGGGTTATTGGTTTTTCTGGTGCTGAGTTTTTTGAGTTCTTTGTATATCCTGGAGATGAGTGCTCTATTGAGGTGCAGGTGGCAAAGATTTTCTCCCGTTCTGTAGGGTCTCTCTTCAGTTCCTGATTGCTTCCTTTGCTGTGAAGCAGCTTTTTAGTTCAATGCCATTCCATTTATTGATTCTTGATTTGACTTCTTGTGCTTTAGGAGTCTTTGTTGAGGAATTAGCTTCCTAAGCTGACATGCTGGAGGGTTGGGCCTACTTTTTCCTCCAGTCCAAGATCTCTCAGCCCTTTTTTATATTTTATTTAGAGACAGGGTCTCACTGGTGCTTGGGGCCTTGCTAAGTTGCGCCCAGCTTTGAAATAGCCATCTTTCTGCCTCAGCCTCCTGAGTTCCTGGGATTACAGGTGTGCCCTGCAGTCTTTGGCTTTTCAAATGTCCACCAAGAATATGTGAACCAGACAGATGAATGTGGTGAAAGGTCAGATAGATGGTTCTAGGTGTCATGATGCCATTCTTGCAAGTTTCCTATATGTTTGCAAACTTTCCCAATAATACACCAGGGGAAAATACTTAATAAAATCTTTGGGCTGGAGGTGTGGCTCAATGTTGGAGTTCTGCCCAGCTTGCTGGTTCTAGTCCCAATGCCATAAAAATAAATATATAAAAATAAACAAGCTAGTCACGTGCAAATCCAGACAATACAGGATTAATCTGGTCTAGATGACTCTTCCTTCTACTTTAAGGATAGAAATAGTAGACTGCAGAGTTGAATCAACCCAAGAGAACCACTCTTAGAGTTCATTGATTTCTTATTTGTAAACAATGCTGATCATTAAAAATCCTTTTAGATCCTGGCCAGGAGAGGACTCAAGTTGGAAACTGAGCAGTTCCAGCCCTTTCAGATGCTTGGCATCAGATTAAACACAAGTCAAGGAACACTGCAATCCCAGCAGATAGGGAGGCTGAGGCAGGAGGATCTTAAGTTCAAAGCCAGCCTCAGCAACAGTGAGTCACTAAGCAACTCAGTGAGACCCTGTCTCTAAATAAAATATAAAATAGGGCTGGGGATGTGGCTCAGTGGCTGAGAGCCCCTGAGTTCAATCCCCAGTACCCACCCCCACAAAAAAAGTGGTGCAGGCTGAGGCAGGAGGATCTCCAGAGACCCTGTCTCAAAAGAAAATGAGCACTACTGGGGATGTAGCTCAGTGAGGAAGAGTGCTTGGTTGGCACGTGCCAGGCCCTGGGTTGGATCAGAAGAGGAATCAGAAGAAGAAGAAGAAGACAGTTTGAATACCTACGATGAGGAAAACCCTGAGAGTTCACACATTCCCCCCCCCATCCCCTCAGTCTGATCATACAAGGCAGCCAGCCACATTTTTTTGCAGTCATTATGAATTGAATTTTGTCTCCTACAAAATGTCATAGATTGAACTCCCAATCCTCAGCACCCTGGGATGTGACATTTGAAAACAGGGTCATTACAGATGTAATGCAACTTAAGATTGTAACCTTAAGATGAGGTTAGTAGGGTAGACCCTAATCCAGTATGACTGGTGTCCTCATAAGAGGGGGAAATTTGGACAGAGAGGGAAAGAACACACACAGGGAAACCCCAAGTGGGGGGGGGAAAGGGGGGACAGCGATCTGGGTGGTGCTTCAACAAAGCTAAATAATGCCAGAAATGACCCTGCCCATAATGCCAGAGCAAACCAGCAGAGCCATGCCAAAGGCCTACGTTCTCTTTCACGTCCTTTACAGAACCATTCCTGCTGAACCCTGACCTTGAACTGCCAGCCTTCAGAAAGCCCAAGAGACAATAAATTCCTGATGGTTAAGCAGGCCAGTTTGGTATTGGTTTGTTATGACAACACTAGAAAACTAAAGCTAATATGGTAGGAAAATATACACAATGTACTATTTTACCCTTTTTCTTTTTGGTATTAAGAATTGAACCCTGGGGCACTCTACCACTGAGCTACCTCCTCAGCCCTTTTTATTTTTTATTTTGATACAGGGTCTAGCTGAGTTTCTGAGGCTGGCCTTGAACTTGTGATCCTCCTGCCTCAGCCTCCTAAGTCTTTGGGATTACAGATGTGCACCATTTTTTAAAGTGTATGGTTTAGTGACATTAAGTGCATTCACATCATTCTGCAAATACAGAACTTTTAAACTTTTTAAACATTTTAAAAAGTTTTCCTCTGGACCCAAACCCAAGGCTGTGGGAAGGTTGGAAGACCTACCTCTGTAGTCTCTTCTGTTCAGCTGAGTGGCCTGTTTCGCCTCGTGTGAGGCAGACAGCCTCCTGCTCTGATGCGGTCGCTGCCCGTGTGTGGAAAGCTCAGAACTGTGATCCTAGCTCACAACATACGTACTGAGTGATTACTGGGTTCCAGGACCACGCTAAGGGCTTTGCAAGGATTATGTCTTTTATGGTTTGAGTATCAGGGAGGTCAGCTTGTCCCATTTTATGGATGAGAACTGAACTTCAAAGAACTGAACTGACTTGCTCACTTTGGCTCACTCTGGGCAGCCAGGGACTTGAATGCAGGTTTTAGCCCTGCACCGTCCTGCCCACTAGCTCTTTTGGTCTTCAAGAAAATAAAAAGCATGAAGTGATGATTGGATCGAAATATTTATGTTCGTGCCTAGAGACCCCCTTGCATGTGTCACATGGCTAGCCCCCGTCCTTACTCCATGTTCCACAGAGGGTCTCTGAAGAATGTAAGGATTCCAGACTCAAACCTGGCTCTCCAGGTCATTCTGAAGGTGTATTGGGGAAGGTGGACGACCAAACTTATTTTACACGACAGCTTATTAACTAACATATTTTATAATTCTGGGGACTTCAGACACAGGGTCGGTGGGTTTCCACATTATTCTTGGTCAAGGTCCCCAAGGAGCAGGGCAGTCAATTGACCACAGTTTTCTTGAGCCAACAGATAGACCTCCAGTGGGCTCCCAGTGGTGGCCAGAGCTTGGAATTCCTTCTAGGATGGAAAAGGAGGAAACCACGACTTTGGGCAGAGACCAGCCTGGTCCTGCCAGCCATGCCACGTAGCTCCACCAGGCCTCAGGCAGTAGGCGCTCGTGGGAATGGCCTGATTGGTGCTCAGCCGCTGGCCCTGCTGCTCGGTGGCAGCCCACTCTCCTGCTCAGACCAGACGTCTCTCAATCCTCAAATCACACTGGTTTTCTGACCCTGCTGAGGCTACCTCTCTGCTTCCCAGAATAGAAAAGACCAGCCCTATTTTGCTGGCCAAAGGGAAGGCACGTTGGGGACAATGCGGGAGGGCTACTGCTAGGCAGAGTCCTGGAAGGGACTGGGGAGTGGGACGGGAGCCCTGTCCAGTGAGGGGAAGCAGGGAGCAAAGGGTCAGGCCATCACCGCGGCGGAGGGGTCCTGCTGGGAAGAGGCCCTGTGCCTGAGGGAAGGGGTGGTCACAGCGTGGCCAGGTCCTGGGTGTGGCTGAGATGGCAGTGCGGCCTCGTGGTGGGATGGCAGCTGCATAACCCAGTCAGTCCAGAAACATGGACTCGGCCGCTGACCTGGGACAGCAGGAAGCTAGAAGTGGCTACAAGTGCCCGGGTTCAGCTGTTGCCTTCCTTCCCTGTGCAGCTGTGGCAGGACAGACAGAACTCCCAGACACCATGGCAGTGTCTCCCTGGGCCTTTCACCGCAGGCTGAGGGTTGTTGGACCCACTGCACTGATAGGGGAGAGGGCAGGTGGGGTGTCCGGCTCAAGCTGTGGCCGTGAGGCAGTGCTGACAGCCAGGTGATGGACAGAAAACCGATGGCCAGTCCACCCTCACCGCCACCTTCACAGCTCTGTGACTGAACCCGCGCTGGGTGCCTGCTCTCTCACCTAAGCCTCGGACCCTGTGGGAAAAGCCCTCAGAGAGGCTATAAAGCCCTGAAGGAGGCGACATGTAATTACCTTCTGGAGGTAATCATTATCCCTGTTCTACAGTGAGGCCTCTGATGCCCAGAGAGGTTGAGCTGATTGCCCAAGGTCACACAGTAGCCTACCCAGGTCAGAGGGAAGAGCGTGTGCAGGCCGGGTCCACAAGTGCTTTGGGTGCGTTGAGAAACCCCCACAGAGGACACGCATGTGCTGAGATGGAGCCTGGGCCACGGGGACAGCTGTGCTGGCAGGGTCTGCTGAGAATGTGTGCGTGAGCACAGCTTTGACAGCGGCAAACAGCATGTGGGAGTGTGTTGACGGCAGGGGTGGGGTGGCAGCACCGGCTCCATGTGTGTTTCTGCTGGCAGCAGAATGTTCTGGTCTGTGTTGATAAACAACAGTTTGAGCAAGTGAGAGGCTGGAGCAGGGACAAAACAGAGGGGTTTGCCCGGGTAGGTGGGGTGGGAGGAAGGAGACAAACCTGGGGTAGAGGAGGCTGGGCCTGCAGCTCCTAGGAAGAGGGGCAGTGGCAGCCAGCCGGGTGGTGGCGGCTCTTGTTTCTCAGCTGACCTCACAGGGTGCGAACATCTGGGTGTGGAGCCCTCTGCACACCACCTGATGCCCATAAACGCGAGAACATGCTGTGAGGAAGAGAGTGTCCTCCGGGGTGTTAGGTGCACGTTTGCTCAGCACCAAGCCAGGCGCATGTCATGATTCCCAGGCCAACAGATTCCTCAAAAGCCAGCTTCTTGGAAGAGGTGGCAGCCCCGGGCCAGCCTGATGGGGCTCGTGATGGTAACCTGAGCCCCTGCAACTCGCCCTGCTCCCGGTAGACAGCGGGGAAGCCTGCAAGGGCATCCCCAAGAGGGAGTCACCCCAAGAGGGCCTTGAGGGGCTCAGCCCCCATCCCCAGCCTTAAGTCCCCCCACCTTGGTTCCTCCCGCCACCTCCCCTCTGTTGGCTGAACCCTGCCCCCTCCACTGCCCTGTACATTCCGCATCTCCTCCTGGAAGTCCTCCAGATGTCCCTGGGAGGGCCTCAGAACAGTGTCCTCCCCAGCGCCCACTGCGCTTATTCAAGATGCTTCTGAAACCAACACCTGGTGTCAATGGCCTCATGACTGGAAATCCTGCCCTCTGGAATCCTTCTGGGGGACTTGGTGGCTCTCCTTGCCTTCCTGCCCTTTGCAGGGATGGAGGAAGGAAACTGTGCGGAGCAAGCTGATGGAGGAGGTCGGCGAGGCTCTCCCCTGCTCTGCTGCCCGCAGCTTCCGCTCCCTGCCAAGAGCCCAGCCCTCCCAAGTGCCAGCTGTGAGTCCCTTCCTCGGGCTGCTTCCTGGCCCTTCTTGTCCATTGGATTTGTTCACTCCCAAGGCCGGGGACAGAGAACACAAATCCAAGGAGAGCTGGCCTCTCCTCGCTCATCTTTGGCTAAGGACTGGTCCCGTAGAAGCTCAGCAAAACAACCCCTGTTGAGCCTGGCTTCCCCGACGCCACTGTTCCTGCCCTCCATACTTCTTTTTCTTTTCTTTCTTTCGTCCTCTGCCTCCTCCTCCTCCTCCTCCTCCTCCTCCTTCTTTTTATTTTTTTTTGGGGGGTGGGGGGTTACTGTAGAATTGAACCCAGGGCCTCACACATGATAGGCAAGCACTCTTCCTGAGCTATATCCCCAGCCTTTTTTTTTTTTGAAATGGGGTCTTGCTAAATTGCCCAGGCTGACCTTGAACTTGGGATCCTTCCGTGGTCTTTTTTATTTCAACAAGGTTGAACTTACCATCCCACATAGCACTAGCTACCTCTGTTTCAATTTAAACAGTATCATAAGAGCCCTTCCCCAAAACATCTTCCCCACTAGCCTATGGGGCGCGGGTCTGTTGCACTATTTATGAGGCCTTTATAAGACAGAATTTATATAAATATCAAAAATGGCTAGAATGGTAATTTTTATGCTATGTATAGTCTAACACAAGAAAAATATCAAGAAGGATGTACTAAAGAAAAAAAACACACTGATTTTCTAGATAATAGAATTTGGGATAATTTTTACTTTGATTTTTACCCCTTTTCCATTATTTGAGTTTTACAGTGCTGGGTGTCAAACCCAGGGCCTCAAGCATGGTAGGCAAGTGCTCAACCACTAGGTCACACCCCAGCCCTATTATTTGAATTTTTTTGAACAAATGAAATATATCTTTGTATAGTCAAAAAAGGGAAAGAATGCTCTATTTTAAGAAATAAGCACTTTGACTTTAAAGAAAAAACTTAGAATTCACTCCCCAGAGACCCAACAACTTAAATCCCAGCTCAGGAAATTTTGAATGCCCTGGAGATTGTGGGAGAAATGCAGATTCCCTGCCCAGCGAGCCACGCAGCCTCAAGCCATGCTCCAGGGAGCAAGGTCCTAGGACCCCAGCCTTGGGGACCTGGGGGGCTGAGCTGCAGAGCAGTGGCAAGGGATTGCTCTTGCCCCTGAACGGCTCCTGCCCCCACCCCCAGCCCTCTGCATCTGTAGCTGTTCCCACCACAACCTCCCAGGGCCGTGGGCCAAGACGAGGCTAGCCTATTCCTTTAAGAATAAAGGAGCCTCCACGTGCCTTTCCTTGTTTAATAGGTGCTTTGGGGAAAGGATGGCCACCTTAATGATGGTAGGGTGTACTAATCTTTAGGGCTAGAGGAAGCCTCAGAGGTCATTCAGTCCATTCCCCTGCCTCCAGGCAGCACTTAAATGATCCTAGCTGGGCAAGCCTTGATCTTGTTTTGAGGACTTCGGAAGCTGAACACCCCACACCCTTCCTCAGACACTCATTCTGATGTCTAAACATTTCTTGCCAGGAAGTCCTTCCTCATGTCTAATCCAAACTCCCTATGCTATGGGTTTCCATCCTGTAGTTCTCGAGGGTCTATTGGAGGTAGGGAAATGCTGCTTGTCTCCCTCCCATTATCCAAGATCAGGAGCCACCAGCACCTTGAATTAGGATTAAAGTCCTAATTCACTGTGTGACAGGCAAGACACTACTTTTTTAGCTCTCTTCCTCCTTTGTAAAATGAGACCAAAGGATGCCTACAGTGCACTGAGAAGGAGACCATGAGTGTGTGAAAAAGGCATAAAACATACTTATGTGAGGCTATTATTAATTTTTAAATTATTATTATTAATTTTTGGTAGTGTTGGGGAGTGAACCCAGGGCCTCACCTACACTAGGCAAGTACTCACCACTAAGGTCCAGCCTGACACCTCGATTATTAGTGAATAATACCAACCAGCTCTCCTGCCTGAGCCACTGTATAAGATGATTTCCAATATGGTGATTCGCGAGATAATTTTAAGTGATAAAAGAACAAAGATTTAAAAATAAGATGTAAGGGGCTGGGGATGTGGCTCAAGCGGTAGCGCGCTCGCCTGGCATGCGTGCGGCCCGGGTTCGATCCTCAGCACCACATACCAACAAAGATGTTGTATCCACCAAGAACTAAGAAATAAATATTAAAAAAATAAATAAAATAAAATAAGATGTAATGCACATTGAGAAAAAATACCTCAACTCCAGGGTTTCACCAGCATTCCTGCGCAGAACAAAGCTGGGTTCAAACGATGATAACATTGTTTTAAAGAAAACACGAATTGAGTAACTAATACACAGGGCAGCACAAAGCTAGGGCAGAAATCGGAAGGGTGGCTGGTGAGATTCCAGCAAAGTGGAGCTGCCAAAGGAAAGAAAGGGAGGCCGGCTCCCAAGAGTGGGCAAGAGTGGCTGAATGGGGGAGGGGGGGGACACGCAAAGCAAAGTCCCAGAGGAGCCGGGAACAGCAGGACGGTGTGGCCGAGCAGGGGTGCCCTGTCTGCAGATGTACCTTCTCCAGGTTCTGGGAAGACTGCTTCCCCCAGAGCAGGGCATTTGCCAGCGCCAACAAGGCCGGGTGGCAGGCAGGGCTGGGCTTCCTGTCCTATTCCTGGCCCTCAGGCTCAGAGCCCCCTCTGCACTCCACTCTCTGGTGCAGGGAAAGTGAATGACTCCAACTGTACCTTGGGTCCCCCCTGCAATGGTGCCCGTGGTGGCCTGTAGGTCGGGCTGTGGAACTGACAACTTCCTCATCAGGTTTCTTCCTCTAGTCTCATTGTGGAATTGGGCAGAGGCCCTGGCAGAAAATGGTACTCTGAGACCCCTTGGTGACAGGCCCTTTGCTGGGAGACAGGAACACAGTAAGTGAAAGAGATCCTGCCTTCCAGAAGCTCACAACTGAGCCAAGGAGACCCACAGAGGTACCAAGCAGCCTCTCACGGCCATCCCAACTACCCAGAGATGTGTCCAAGATTCAGCTAGGATTTGGGGGAAACGGTCACCTCTGCTGGGGGCTCTCAGCCTCCCAGGACCAGGAATTTCCAGTGGAGCAAGGGAGGAAGATTTTTCATTTGGGGGCCCCAGGAAGAGGCAGAGGCAGGGCTCTCTGACCCAGCTCACCTGCCTCATTAAACATGAGATGCTGTTGGTCTTGGCGTCACTGCCCCATCAGCAAGGGTGGGCAACATCAGGATGGCAGCACAAGGGTTGCCTGGACAAGCCACCGCACCAGGGAATTAAAGGCCTCCAGAGCCCTGCTTGGGCTCAATGTCAGGCCCCAGGGCCCAAAGGGTGAGCTATTTTACCAGCTGGTATCAGTTTCCTTATCTGTGTAATGGGGACAATGAACCTGATCACCTTCCTCTTTCCTGGGAAGAGTATGAGGCTAATGAATGCCCAACAACGGATGTGACTATACCTAAGACCAAGTGCAAGCTGCCTAGAGGCAAGGGAATGGCCGCGGTAACCCTTGGTTCTCTCTTCCTGTCCAGGACAGAGGACAGTGCAAGACCCACAATTCAGCTCATCTTGGTTCCCACCCTGCCCTGGGTGGGTCTTGGCCAGAAAGCCCTGATCTGTTTGCTAAGCAAATACCGGACTCAGTCTTACCCAAGACTGCCCTTGCAGTGCCATGGGTTTCTGGGTCCCTTCTAACAGGTCCCTTCTCTAGCCATCCATCTTTGGCATGCTGGAGCTCCTCTGTGCTGTGGGCGTTGGTTAAGGACTTGGGTTCTCGTTGGGGAAACAACCAGAACAACTTCTAACCTCCACCCCATCCTACGATGAAACCGGGGCCACAGTTCCCAGGGTGGCAGGCCTGGGGGAAAGGAGGTTCCGCCCAGAGGAGGCCTCGAGGCGCAGCTCTGTTGCCATGGCAACCAATGAGCGCCCCCGCAAGCCTCCTCATTGGCCACTGGGGTGGAGATCCCGCCTCCGCCCTCAGAAGGGACCAACCGAGAGCCGACGGGGTTAGACCCCCGCTGGGGGATTAGCGGGCGGCGAGGGCCGCCGGCACGCGATCCGCCCTCAGAGCCCCGCGGGCTGCGATCAAACTGGGTCCCAGAGTCCGTGGGAGCGGGGGTCGGGGGCGGCAGCTCGCAGGACGTTCCCGGCGCGGCGCTGGGGGACGCGAGCCAGGTGACGGCGCGCGAGGGGGCAGGTTCTCCCCGCCGCGGGGGAGGCTGGCTCCGTGGGGCCGCGGCCGGGAGGCTCCCGAGGGCCGAGGAGGGGGAGGCCAAGGCCAGGCGGGCGGCGAGGAGGCCGAGGTGGAAAAGCTGTAAGGACGCGGGAGGCGGGGCGGGGGAAGAGGATCCCACTAGGAAATGCGGCTGAGCTCCGGGAGGTGGCAGGAGCCTGGGCTTGGAGTCCCACAGCACGGGGTTCGAATCCCAGCTCCGCGAGCACCCGCCGGGTGGCCTTGCGCACAAGTGCCTTCCCCTCCCTCTCCGCCTCCTAGGCGTGGAGAAGGAGCAAACACCTGTTATTTTGTGCGGATCCCCGTGGTGAGCACCCTAAGACTCTTCTCCCCCATCATTCCCTCAAAACAACCCTGAAGTGCCCCTGTAATCCCAGCAGCTGGGGAGACTGAGGCAGTTCGAGGCCAGCCTGGGCATCTTAGTGGCACCCTCTCTCAAAACAAAACCCAAACAAGACCCTGAAAGAGGTGGGTGCTGCCTTTACCCCCATTCTACAGATGAGGACACTGAGGCCCAAGGGAGCTACGTGGGAAAAGCCCAGGGTGGCTCAATTCCCAGACGTGAGTTGGTGGTTATCTGGGGGGGAAGTAGGAGGTGGCGTTCCCACCCCACCCCCGGGGCGTCCTGGCCTGGCCGGAAGGAAGGTTCGTGCCAAGCTGTGAGACTCGGTGGTTTCCTTTAACAGAACTGCGTCAGGCTCTCTAGGGGGTTAACCGCCAGGAACTGGTGACAGCGCTTTGACTACTCTGAGATCAGACAGGAGAAAACCAGCCTCCTGGGCAAAGTTCCCTTTGTCAGATTAGAGAAGATAGAGCCACCCTGGCCCCCCACCTCAAGGAAAGGAGGGGAGAGAGGGTCACTTCTTTCAAAGTGCCGTTAGTTTTCATCCCCGGGACTGGGGGGAAAATTTTTTTTAAAAAGTTATTATCTGAGACTCACATTCCTCCTCTCTAAAATAGGTCTGATTAAATTGTGAGGATTATGAAAACTAATCTTGAGGGCTGGGGAGGTCACTGAGCTGTAGGACACTCGCCTGGCATGTGTGAGGCCTTGGGTTCAAACAACAAAATGTCATCCTTTTTTTGGTGCCAACCTGTGGCCGACAGGAGTCAGGCAGGGTGTTCAGATCCCTACAGAGGGTGCCCTCCAGAGTTTCCAGAAACCCCACAGAGCCACAAGAGGCCAGATTCCCTCTCAGTTCACCTCCTGGGGCTGATTGCCCTCTAGTCATTAGCAGACACTTAGGAAGCACCTAAAAGCTGATATTGAGTCCCTCGCATGTGTTAGGCTGTAATATTAAGTGCTGGACCCTGGTCAACCCTTTTAATAATCAGAAACAACCCTTTCTTTCTCCTGAAAAAAAACCACTGTCATTGTCATTCCCATTTTGCAGATGAGGAAACCAGAAGTTCAGAGAGGGAAAGAAAGTTCACCATGGGAATTTCAGACTGTCTGATGCAAATGACTCAAAGCCTGACTGGAACTGGTTTATGGGAAGAAGGGAACTTACTGGCTCATTAAACTGAAAAATCTAGGCATGGCTGGATCTGGAGACCCAAAAATATCAGAATGACTCCTTTTTCCAAATCTCTCCACTGTGTCTTCGCTGTCCTAGGGTCGTATTTGGGCTTGATCAGTGCTCTGTGGCTGCACATTCATAACCCAAGTTTTATTTCAGTTGAAAGAGGCTCCCTTTTTGATAATTGCAACACAGGTCTCAGGATCCACTCTAGTTGGACAGTAGGGGACATGGGACCATACTGATAAAAGGTTCAGGGCAGGAAGAATTTAGTTGATTGGCAGGTCTGGTCACAGGCCCCACACCTAGAGGCTCCACTGTATGAGTGGGGTGAAAGAGTTGCAGGAATAAGAGAGATGGGCAGTGGGTGCCAGCTGCTAACTCAACCTGTGCCCTCCATGCTGAGGTTGCAAGGTTACACAGTTGGAGAGAGGTGGGGGCTGGGCTGGAGCCCTGGCAGCCCGACTCTTGACACCCACATCCTGACTCCTTTCGCCTTTACTACAGGTGCCAGCATCCTCAGACTGGAGAGTGATGCTCCCTCCCTAGAGAGAGCCCACTCCTTCTTTGCTGCTACCACATCAGGCCTCACCACATCCCGTGCCCATCTGCCTCCAGCCCTGCCTCCTGGTGGTCCCTGGAGGGTCCTGGAAGCCCTTCTGGTAGCTGCAGCCTGGCTCTATCCGCCGTGCTGCCAAAGGCCATGTATGTTTAGCCAGAGTTTTGCGCTACCCTGGGGACCCGTTGCTCCCTTTTTCTCTGCACAGAGGGGAGTTTCCTTGGAGATTGAGACTGTGTTCTCTCCCCCCTGCATGGTCCCTCTCCAGAACCAGACAGCATATTTATAGTAGGCAGCACCTGTGATTTTGAGGGACCCTGGGAAGGCCTTACCTCCTGTGTTTCTCATTTACTGTTTCATTAGATGGGATTCCACTCCTTTAATTCCAGTTGAGATTGAAATGTGCCTGAGAGAGGGGACAAGTACACCTTATTACTCATTCATTCACAGTTTAGGGTGAAATAGATACAAAATCCTTCTGGAGGACTGGCTTTTGTTGTCATGAAACTTATTTATTGTGCCTACTCTGTGCCCTGCACATGTATTATCTCATTTAATCCTCACAAATACTCATGAGATTGGTATCATTATTCTTCCTGTCTTGAAGAGTGGGGAACTGAGGTCCAGGGAGGTTAAGGACTGTGCCAAATATCTACAAGCAGCAGAGCAGGGGCATGAAGGCAGGAAGCCTCTTTCCAGATCCTGCCCTGCCTACCCCTCACCCACTGGGCTTATCCCTAGCACAGGGGTTTACAAGTGTATTCCCACACATCCTTTGGACCGCCCGCCCTATAATTCAGCAAGGGGGGTGGTAGGATCATCTCTATTTTATGGAGAAGAATGTTGAGATTCAGGACTCAACTCAGATGAGTTCTTCTGCCTGGAACCTCTGAGAGGTGAACCCACTGGGGTCCTGGGACAGGAGGGAGCGCATAGTAGGGATGAGAAGCCGGACCTCCTTCCTCCCTTCCTCCTCTTCTCCCTACCTTCTCTTCCTTCTTACCTTCCTTCTACTCATTCATTTATCCATTTGAGCACTACTAAGTGTCAGGGCTGTGGGGAGCACCCAGTAACTAGAGCAAGTGTGCTTTAAAGGACTGACAGTCAACACACACACACACACACACACACACCCTCCTGATTCTTTGACAGTAGACCCCACACTGGAGACAGCTGTGTCTACCATCTTCCAGCATGTCCCTATCACCAGGAGCCCAGCCATCCTCATCAGAACATGAGTAGGGAAAGGCTACCTCACACGACAGGGACAGACTGGCACACCTCAGGACCTGTGGATGGAAATCCAGGGATTAAGGGAGCGTGATTTCACCAGACATCCCAGAAAAGGACCAGCAGGCCTGTGGATGGATGTGGAAGGTGATGGGGGGCTCAGCTTCCTCTTCCATTAATTGACCTATTCCCAAACTGCATCTGAAGAACCGCCGATTGGTTAGCCGCTTCAGCCTCCAGCTTTCTTTTACTAGGGGGGAGTGGGATATTGGGGATTTAAGCCAGGGATGCTCTACCACTGAGCTACATCCCCAGACCTTTTAATTTTTTTAAACCTTGAGACAGGGTCTCTCTAAGTTGCTGAGGCTGGCCTCAAACTTGCGATCCTCCTTCCTCAGCTTTCTGAGTAATCCTTCTGGATTTCTGACCCAGTTCTCCTGGGTTCTTCACAGTGATTATGTTTCCCAGTTTACGGATATGGAAATAAGATGAGTGTAGAAATGCAGCAAGAGCCCAACACTTCAATCTCTTTTTATTTACTTATTAATTTATTTTCTTGGCACAGGGTCTTGCTGGGCTGCCCAGGATGGTGTCAGATCCCTGGGCTCAAGAGATCCTCCTGCCTCAACCTCCTGAGTACTGAGACTACTGGTTCCCCACCCAGGCCTGAGTCCAGGTATCTCCCACGTGCTCACTGTGTGCCAGACTCTGAGCTACAGCCTGGAGACACAGCAGTGAACACCAGAGATTTGTCCCACTTCTAGGACCACCAGTACTAGTAAGGGTAATAGGAAGGGGAAGGCGTGGTGGTAGGACAAGGAGACTTGTTTAACAGATTTGGAGGCTGCTCAGGATTGCCTTGGCCCCCACACTTTGGAAAATCTAGCACAGCAAAGTTTAGGGCTGTGGAGTTGAAGTGGGGTTCCTGATTTCAGATTAAGTGGGGTACTGACTTAGAGGGCAGTTGGAGATGCCCCACCTTCATAAAACACAGATCTCTGGGCGCAGTGGCCAACACCTGCAATCCCAGCAGCTCAGGAGGCTAAGGCAGGAGGATTACAGGTTCAAAGCCAGCCTCAGGCCTGGCACGGTGGTGCATGCCTATAATCCCAGCAGCTCAGGAGGCTGGGGCAGGAGGATCATTAGTTCAAATCCAGCCTCCAAATTTAGCATAGGCCCTAAGCAACTCAGCAAGACCCTGTCTCTAAATAAAAAATATGAAAAAGGCCTGGGATGTGACTCAGTGCTAAAGTGCCCCTAGGATCAATTCCCTGGTACAAAAAGTAAAATAAAATAAAACCATAAACCAAATATCCTCCCAGTCCCTGTCTGCTGATCTCAGACCATGCTCTGCCTACCTGGAGTCTCGGCCCCAACGGTTTCCTTGTCTTGGGTGGCTTCCAGCCCCACCTACTTTCCTAGAGCCCAGATTCCTCCCTCATTCCTGCCAGGCGTTTACCACTGTCACTCTGAGTAACTCCAGGGACCAGGGTGACCTCACCTGATCCTGATTCAGTTTGAGTCACCCTCCCCATTTCTGGAAGGTGGCCCTCAGCCATTCTGATCTCATGATCACTTGGGCACCTGGGGCCTGTGGGAGTGGCAGGTCCCCATCCCAAGTCCCTCTTGTCAACCAGGTCTGTGTCATGCAGGGGATAGGGAACCCTAGGAAGGAACCTCCAGCTGTTCAGATGAATTCACATCCTCTAAGCTCATATCTGACACATTCCTCTTCTGTTTTTACCAGGAAAAGAACTCTACCTGGGGAGACTCTTATTCATTGATCACTCAGTTGATTGAGGTAGGCGCTCTCTAGACACCATCAGAGGCTCACAGCATTCCAAGAGAAAGAAACTGAGGCTCAGAGAGGGGACTTGACTTTCTGATTTGACCTTGCACGTGCTGAGCCAGCTCTACCTCTAAGCCATACCCTCAGCCCGGACTTGACTTCCTCAAGGTCACACAGCAAGGCACTGGCCCAGGTGGGATTGGAACCTGATACAACTGACTCCAGAATGGTTTAACTCAGCCTCACACCTGACCCCTGTGCAGCTAGCTGTCAGGTAGGGGAAGGAAGAGGGAGGTCACTCCATTCCCCACCTGAGCCTGTTCACATCCTTGGTGTCATTGTTGGAGGAGGTTGAAGTGCTGGGAGCAGCCAACATTGGTTTACTCTGTGGTCTGAGAGCCACCACTACCTTAGTGGCACAGGCTTGCGAGACCCAGGGAAACCCTGCAGGAGGCCTCCGCATGTGAGGGACCAGCCTGGCTGCTCAGTGGGAATCTCAGTGCCCCACCCCCACAGCCCCTCCTCTGCCCAGATTCCCTCTCCACCAGGCTCCTGGATGCCAGTCTCCCTCTCCCACTCATCAGCCTCATGCCAGGTGAGGCTGTGCAGTCCAGAACCAGGCCACCCAGTCCCCGTGCTGCTGGCACGCACATGTAGCTATGGAGTACTTGAAACGTGACTCTTACTGCTGAAGGCCAGATGTTCAATTTTATTTAATTTTAATCTATTTACATTAAGGGTTTTTAAATTATTTTTTCAGTTGTAGATGGACACAATACCATTATTTTATTTACTTATTTTTATGTGATGCTGAGGATCAAACCCAGTGTCTCGCACATGCTAAGCAAGTGCTCCATCACTGAGCCACAACTCCAGCCCTGCGTTACAGGTTTAAAAAGTGATGCTCAATTCAGTTATGGGAAAATGTTTATGTATGCTTGGAACAACTTGGATACATGTGAATCTACTTTTTCAACTACAAATTTTATGAGATTCTAAATATTTTCTGGTAAAATTTAACAAGTTCTCTAAGCATATAATAAGCACCCAATTTTGAAGGCTGAGTCAAACAAATGTAAAATATCTCATTCATACTTTTATAATGATTAATGTTGAAATGATAGTAGTTTATATATCAGATTAAGTAAAATGTATTATTGAAGTTGATTTCATCTGATTCTGTTTCAATGTGGCTACTAGAAAATGATATATTTCTTAAACAGCTAATACTATATTTCTGTTGCACAGTGCTAGCCTGGAGGTTAATCATGAAGATTCAAATTCTGTTGCTGTGTATCCTTAAACAACTTAACCAACCTATCTGAGCCTCAGTTTCTTCACCTATAAAACAAGTAGCACCTCTCTCAGAGAGTTGTTTGGAGAAATATGAAATAATGTTTGTAAGGCTCCCCGAATATAGTAGGTACTCAGAAAAAAAAATTATGATAAGCTTCCTTTTACCATGACACTCTAAAGTGCAAGTCAATGAATCTCAACCATATTTACGGAGCCTGCTGTGTCCCAGGTCCTGGGAATTTGGTAAAGAACATGCCAATAATGCCTCTTCTCTTAGGGCATTCCCTGAGAGCCCTAGCCTTTGTTTAGGTGGCCACTAAGACAAGAGTTAGGCAGTTGCTCTGGAGAAACAGAAACTCAGAGACGCTCAGAGAGTTGCTGCCTTAGCAGGGCTGCTTCCCTGGGGAACCCCAACACCTGAGCTAAACCTGATGGGCCAGGAGCCAACAAGGCGAATCTCCGAGGGATGGGTGTTCCTGGCAGTGGGAAGGGCTGGGGCAGAGACCTCACCATGTTTTCCATTTCCTGCATCCAGCTCTCTCCTGGCCCCCGCACTGTCCCTGTTTTCATGGCAACCTTTGTCAAACTGGTCCACATCATTCCCTCCACCAGATCTGCACTCACGTCTGCCCACGCACATCTCTCCCCTCCTTTGCCCCTCCAGCCCTATTCTAGGATGTTCCTCTGATGGCTCCTGCCCCTGCTGGTCCCTCTCTGGGCTTCTTCTAGACTGACCACTTTGTTCTACACCACCCTCGTGCCGCCCCACCCCCTCTCCTTTGCTTCTTTCTAGGTCAGTCTTGCCTCCCACAATAAACTCTCCCCTTTCCCAGGGCAGGACAGAACCAGGTCTCCCACGCCTCCCTGAACGGGGCTGAGCCACTTGACAAGCCCTGTGGCTGGCCAGAGCCCCACTCTGGGGACACAGAAGGCATGTCTGCCCAGGCAGAATGGAAAATCCCTTTCTGGGGGAAGGGCCGTGGAAATTTCTTCTTAGAGTCCTCCTTCCAGACTTGGACTGGCCCCAGAAAGCAGTCAAGCATTTACTCAGTGACCTGCAAGGCGGCTCTGTTCTTGCTCCCCACCCCCACCCCAGGCTTGGACTGGGGAGAGTGACCCGGTGGCTCTCAGGAAAAGTGGCAGCCAGGGGCAGCTGCCAGCTGACCCCTGCCTAAAAGAATCACTTTTAGATACCACCCAGGCCCACCCTCTAGGTCCAGAGATGAAGAAACAAGGACAAAGGCAAAACCACAGGTCTCTCTCCACCCCTGGGCCAAGCTTGTTTTGTAGCCTTGTGTTTCTTGGTTTCTTCATCTGTAAAATGGGAATCATCATAATAATATCTATTAAATGGGCACAGTGGTGCACACCTGTAATTCCAGGGGCTTTGGAGGCTGAGGCAGGAGGATAGAGAATTCAAAGCCAGCCTCAGCAACTTAGCAAGGCTCTAAGCAACCCAGTAAGAACCTGTCTCTAAGTAAAATATTAAAAAAAGGGCCGGAGGCAGGCTTGTGAGTCAGTGGTAGAGCTCTTGCCTAGCATGTGTGAGGCATTGGGTTGGATTCTCAGCACCACATATGAATAAATAAAATAAAGATGCATTGACAACTAAAAAAAAA